TATTTACATTGTGAGTTATGACTGACTGCATTTCTTGAAAGATTTAAAATTGTTTACAAATTTCAATGCTTTTCTCTTTGTTTATCTCCATAGCATTTGGACAGAATCAAAATTCCTTTACAATCTTTCATGAATGTCAAGAAGAGGTTTGGAAGTTATAAATTTTAGGAGTAAATGACAGAAATGCAATGTTACTTGTCAGTGACAGAAGTGACAATTTTCTATAAACTCTTCTAGGAAACAAAAAGTAATCACACATTTAAGTAAATAATGTGCTTTTGAAGTAATTTTAGACTGATATAAAACAAGCAGTTCCTAACCTTTCATTATCATTCTGGAGATCCTAATAGGAGGATCAATGTTGTGTGAGTGTGTGTTGGGGGAGGGGGTAATCACAACAACAGTCTAGCTAGTCTGGAAAGATTAAAGTTTAATCAATCAACATTAGACTATGCTAGAATATTAATATATGTATGTGTGTGTGTATATGTGTATGTGTGTGTATATATATGTATATGTGTATGTATATATGTATGTATGTATGTGTATGTGTGTATGTATGTGTATATATATGTATGTATGTGTGTATGTGTATATGTTTGTGTGTTTATGTATATATATATATATATATGTATTTGTATGTATGTATATATATATATATATATATATATATATATATATATACAAATACATATATATACATATATATACATACATACATACAAATACATATACATATATATATATATACATATATATATATATATATATATATATATATATACAAATACATATATATATATATATATATACATACAAATACATATATATATATATATACATACTAATACATATATATATACATACATACAAATACATATATATATATATATATATATAAAAACATATATATATATATATATATATATATATTTATTTTTATATATATATATATATATATATATATATATATATATATATATATATATATATATATATGTTCTTTTTTGTTTACAATGTTTTACTCTATATCAGTATTTTAATTTAGATGTATGGACTATGCAGTCTGAAATAAAGAATTCTTATCTTATCTTATCTTAATATACAGATGTGTGGACCCAGTTAAACTTACAAAAGGGACATATCAATTAACTTCATTGATACGTAGCCACTGAAATTGACCATACATATACAATTACTCAATACAAGTTATCAGAAATCTCTTCTCAGACACCAATTCACTTACAACTGACTTTAATGATTTCTGGAGTTTACAAAATTATAGTAAATAATAAGAAAAGGTATAGAACAAATATTTACAGTGGAAAATTCAGTTCAATATAAAATGTATTTCATTTGCTTGGCTTTTAATAAGCACATACCATAAAACAACTCCTGCGGAAGTTAAATCTATCCGTCAAAGTCTCTCTCTGGTGCACACAGATCAGAATGAGTATCTGGATGAGATTCAATCTATTGTTTCTTTCAGCAGGACTAACTGATTAATCCTAATCTTCTACCATGCAAACTGAGACCTACAAAAAGAAAAGAATCAAGTGATATTGATGTACTTTAAACATTCAATGAAAACTATAAGAATTTCAGAGGAGAAACTGTATGTGTATTGTCCAATGCATGAAACAGCCACATAATTTTAAGCTTTTCCCCTTTGTTAACTGAACCTAGAAATCTCAAGATGTATATATTACACTAAAACATTTTCTATTATGACCCAAGTGTGATATATGAACCTCATGTCAACTTCACAGTGGGCTCATGAAGGTTGAAACTATGTCGGAGTACTAAAACTTTCATTCTTCTCACCAAAATATAGCAAGCGATATGCCATATTCATCATTATTCCTAACACTGTTTCACTGGTGACATTCAACATTTACAAGAGTATGCTTATGCACGATTCCTCCAAAGTCTAGCTGCTCCTGTGGAGTTAAATTACTTTAAAGAATGCATGTTGACATGCTAAGCAATTGTTTCTTTGTGTCTGTATTGAAATGTGAATAATATTCATACAAATAGGTGTGCAAACCTTGACAACTACATAAAAATCAAGACAATACATTGTGGGCACCATTTTGGTTCCATATTTAGTAACTTAAGTCCAAAATATGCTACTTTATCATGATGTAAACAGTTCTCACATTGAGGTATAAAACACAGTTACCTCCCTCGCCAAAGAGCATTACATATAACACTACATGAAATATGGAAAAAGGAAGGAAATATAATGAAGCTAATGCACAAAAATTATTTAAATATACACAAAGAAACAAAAAAGTATAATAGACATGGCTGACTGCACCATAAAAAAAAATTATCATTTTTGCTTAAAGGGGGCAGGGGCCAGTTGTTATGTACAAATTTAATGCCGCAATCAGTGATCTAGTACAAAAAGTCATTAAAAATCAAATACACAAGTGAGGTCAAGAATGTCCATATTTTGAGATACCTATATTAAAACAAAGCATAAAAATATTATCCACTTGACCAGAGAAGTCAGTGGCAGTTCATAGCAGAAGAAGTTATGCACCCCAACCCCAAATTTATACCTGCAATTTTCATGTCCGAAGGTCATTTTTGACACCATGTGGTACTCACAGTGCAAACACAAGCCCTTTTCCTAGATTACAATTCTGCCAATCAGTGTGTACTAAACAGGCTGATGCAGTTGAAAATAGTTGTCATCCAAGCCGTTTTTGAGATATGCTCCTTGTCCCAAACCCACATGTTTACTGCTACGAGAGGCTAGCTCTTCTTCCTAGACAACTATTGGTATTTCACTATCAACATATTGCAGAGTAACTATGGAAGGTGTACATGCCTGACATCAATTTCAAGAACAACACAAGCCCGAAACATCTAGTTCACAAATATATTCATATCTTTAATTAGTAGACAATAATTGCTGAAAAAGTCGCACCATAGCCTTAAGTTAAAACATTTGCCAGGGGCCAAATTACGAAACTGTACCCTGCCTCCTTAACGGAATTTTTTAATATAGCAGACTGACATGCTCGAAATCTATTTCCAGTTCCTGGATAAGTCCATTTTCAGCAAAGGGGTGTGTTCACAACCACAGAGGTGCATTTAGTTGTCGTCTGCTTCCGAAATTTACAATGTTGAATCAAGGAAAGGAAAAGAATGAAAAAAACAAATTTACCTTTCAAGTGGATTTAACAAGCAGTTTAATTAATATTTTCATGTGTGCAAAGGGATATAATTTCAAACTCTCAACTTTATGGCAATTTACGAAATTATCCGTTAGTAACTATGCAATATGGCACCGTGTTAATATGGAAAGTCTGTTAAGCATGAAAGATGCAAGGGAATGCTAGTATTTGTGCTATTATTGTCACAGTCAGGTTAGAAATTATAAATCAATGATTTAATTGACTTAGTTCTGTGCATTTTAAATCACATTAAACGTTTTCGTTATTTGATATATTCTGTAACGAGGTAGGTAGGTACAAACGGACAGTATAGGCATACTATAGGTGGTGCCATAAACAACTCCAAACTAGACATTTCTGCCCCAGTTTGAAAGACGCTAAATTAATCTTTTCGGCCACAATTTCAAAGATTCCAAATTAGATGTTTTGTCTCAGTTTTTAAGGTTTTGTCGTTAGGATGAATTTTCTTAATTTTGTAATGTGTGTGTGTGTGTGTGTGTGTGTGTGTGTGTGTGTGTGTGTGTGTGTGTGTGTGTCTGTTATGGCGAAACATCGACGCCCTCATCGTATTTTGTAATTTCACAGATTTTCTAAACTTCATTGATTTAAAAATATTACAGTAAGAAATGCACACAATTTAGTTTTCAGAACTGCAGGTATTCGTAAATCATAGGTTTTGCAAACTGAAATATTAAACTGAAGTGCGATTTTTAATATTAGCAGTAACTTACGATAACTCGTGAAATTAAAGCTTGTACATTTCGTTTTCAATTTGTTTGTTATTTGTTTTGTTGTTTTTTTTGTTACATGGAAATATTCTATAGCTATGAAGTATTATTTCTCTCATCAGCATCGTCGTATTTGAAAAAGTTATAATGATTTTCGTCATTTAAATGAGATGACAATATTCTAAGCAGGCATCATCGTATAGCTTCACTGAACTCAAGCATCCTTGATTGCATTGTTTTACTTTAGGCAATTAATAAATAACCTTTGCTCCTTAGACCAAACAAATCGATGTTTATTGTATTGTGGATCAGAAAGTAAACTGAACTCAAATTATTGTAATAATTTATTGAGTCAAAAATTTACTTTTGCTAATTAGACCAAGAAAATCGATGTGTATTATATACTGAATCAGGAAGCAATGATCCAAACTACAGGATTTGGGTTATTTTGTCATGTGACTTGGACTGTAAGAGCATAGAGGTGAGTAAATAAACAATGACAGTGTAGCCTTGTCAGCAAAGACTCATTGGTAATTCCGTAAAATAACACCGGTTTGCATCAATACATCATTTATCTCCAGTGAAAATCTATGGCTTAAGTAGCATCTCTTCCTGATTTTTCTGTTACAAGACAAGATTTCAACTGATAGAGAAAATACTGATCGTATCCCTCTGTTGTTATACGATCGGTAGTTTATCTCTGATGACAAACATCCTAATTGCTCTGAAATTTCCAAGCTCCAACTGTATAATATTGCTTGACATGAGGATGCTCCAAAACTATTAAATGATATAATAATATACATGTAACTATACCTAACCATTGAACAACATTTAATCTTTAAAAAAAAGTACATTTTTAAAGACAAAATAGTGATACCAAAAAATGAGTCGTTTGACAAATAATGCTTCGTCATTTCATTCAAGCGTTCCTATTGTAAAACGAAAGACAATTTATTTATTTTTCCTAAAATTTTTAAAAATTTCCTATGTTTATTGATTGCTAGGCTGTTACTAAAATATTATAGGTTTGAAATACACACGCTATTGAAATTTATATCTTCTCTCTTCTGTCGTGGGAACTGCTCCGGTGGCCTAGTAGTTAGAGCGTCCGCCTCGGATGCGGGAGGTTGCAGGTTCTATCCCCTGTCGAGTCATATCAAAGATTTACAAAAATGGTACTAACAGCTGCCTTCTTGACGCTCCGCATTAAGAGGTTACTGTTAGGGGTGGTTGTCCTGGTGTAAGGATAATGTGACTTGGTTGGACATCATGCTACATGTCTTCGGCATGATGCCCCAGTGCTAGACATCACTATAAACTGCCACACTGCAGATATCGTAGCGATATGACTGACAAAATATTAAAGCTACTTTAAAAATAATATTCACATCACATCACTTATATTGTAGAGTCTCGAAAAGCAATCGATGTGGTCGAATTGGCAACTGGAATTACGCGTGAGGAAAGTGTTGCTATGCAAACAGTTCTATAACAAACACTGAAAAATTCCACACCATTGTTGGATGCAGACTCTTCACTGTTTATCCAATAGTAATGGCCGGGTGCAGTTTTTCACCAAACAGCAAACTGTTATCAGCAGCTTTTATCTACAGTTTATGGTTCATGTTAAATTGATAGTCGTAAGTTGTTCAGTTTTTTACTAGTTCATTCTCGCTATAATCGTCTTACAGCAGCAATAAAAAGCAGCAATTTTTATTATTATTATTATTATTATTATTATTATTATTATTATTATTATTATTATTATTATTATTGTTGTTGTTGTTGTTGTTCTTGCTGTTGTTGTTGTTTTTGTTGTCGAAAACAACCATGGGAAGAACAAAAAGATGAAGAAAAACAAAAACAATGAAGTAGTAGTAGTGGTGGTGGAAGAAGACGATTTCAATCTGCTTTCAGTCTTGAATCAAAATAAATGTCTTGGTATTTCGACTTGAGTTAGATTCATTTAAACGCAGCTTGTAACAACAGTCAGCAACAGAATCACTTCTCAAGTTTTCAACCTGACTCAGGTAATGCATCGGTTCATCAGCTAACGCCAGACATCTGCAGTCTGCCATTTCCGACAAGCATTAACAAATAGCAAAAAGTATGTACTCTGGGTAGACTGTCATGACTGTTTTCCGTATCTGGCAATATCCGTTTGTCCACATTTTCACAGAAACTGAGTTTATAATGTGGCTCGTCGACAATATAAGTCAAGTTTAAATGCCAACCAGTTCAGTTAAGCTACCATGCTTATATGAAATTAATGCTTGTACAAAGCATTTTTATATTATTTACTACACTCAGTATGAACATCTTTATCTAGTAATTATTCTCTGTGTATGTGTATATATATATATATATATATATATATATATATATATATATATATATATATATATATATATATATATATATATATATATTAGCAGTCTCTGTGTCTGCAAGAATTAAATTACCATTATGTCATTTTCATTGTTATCATTACTGTCATCATCTGAAAGGTGTAATAGTACTACTGATGTATCATCGACCTTCACTAAACTCAAATTGCCTTCCGTAAAGTAATTTATGTCACGCAATTACCTTGGCTAATTAGACCAAGAAAATCGATGTGTATTGTATATTGGATCAGGAAGCAAAGATCCAAACTACAGGATTTGGGTTATGATGTCATGTGACTAGGACTGTAAGAGGTGTGTAAATAAACTATGACAATGTAGCCACGTGAGCTGAGACTCCTTGGTAAGTCCGTAAAATAACACCGGTTTGTATCAATACATCATTTTATCTCCAATTAAAATATATGGCTTAAGTAGAATCTCTTCCTGAATTTTCTGTTACAGGACAAGATTTCAACTGATCGCTGATCAAATCTCTCTTCTGTGATTCTGCCAAAAATTTATATTTGATAACAAACATCCTTATTCTTCTGAAATTTCAAAGTTCCAAGTTTACATATCGCTTTAACCTAACGATGCTCCAAAACTATTGTATGAAATAATGAAATCCATTTGACTCTACCAAATCATTGAGCAAGACCAATATTTGGTGTTTAAAAAATTTTTTAAAAAAACAATTTTTAACAAATAGGGACCTGTCATATGGCAACTAATGTTTCTTTACTTTCATTCCAGCGTTCTAAGTAAAAAAAAAAAAGACAATTGATTTGTTTTTCCAAAAGATTTTAATTTTGCCTACTTGTATTGATTAAATAGCTGTACCTAAAATAATAACGTTTGGAATGAACACACCACTGAAATTTATCTCTGTGTTTTCGTGACGTCTTGAAAAGCAAACCGTGTGGTCGAATAGGTAACTGTCATTACACGTGCTAAGCGTGTTGTTCAACAAACACATTTAGTGCAAACAATGAAAAATTCCACACCATTACTGGAAGCAGACTCCTCGTCGTTTATCACAGAGTAATCGCCGGGTGCAATGCTGCAGCAATCGGCAGCTCCTATCTTCCGTTTATGGTTCATGTGAGATCAACCGTCGTAAGTTATTAATTTTTGTATTATTTCGGTTAGTTTGCCAACCCGTTTTCTTTCTCGCAATATTCGTCTTACAACAACAATAATAAAACTGGAACATTTATTATTATTATTATTATTATTATTATTATTATTATTATTATTATTATTATTATTATTATTATTATTATTATTGCCGATAACGATTATGAGAGGAATAAGTAGAAGAAAATACAAAACAATGAAGTAGTAATAGTAGTGGTTGTAGATGATGATTTCGATCTGTTTTCTGTGTTCAATCAAACTAAATTTCTTGGCAATATCGATTCAAGTCAGATTCACTTAAGTACAGCTCGTAAAAAAGGAACGGAACCACCTCTCAAGCAAGCAGTTCGCTTTCAGCCAGACTAAGTTCCGAGGTAATGCATCGGTTCAGCAGGTTACCCTGGCTTTCGTAAACCAGACTTTGGCAATCGACCATTTGCGACAAACATTAACAAATAGCAAAAAGTACGTCTTCTCTCCGGACTGCTATGACACTTCCATATTTGGCAATATTCTTTTGTCCACATTTTCACAGAAACTGAGTATATAATGTAACTTGCCCACCACGTAAGTAAATTTGTATGCTGACCATGCAAGTCAAGCTTACACACTTACATGAAAATAAACCGCGTACACTGCGTTTTCATTCTTTTGTTACACTCAAAATGAACATCTTTGGCTCAAAATTATTCTCTCTCTCTCTCTCTCTCTCTCTCTCTCTCTCTCTCTCTCTCTCTCTCTCTCTCTCTCTCTATATATATATATATATATATATATATATATATATATATATATATATATATATATATATATATATATATATATATATATATATATATATATATATATATATATATATATATATATATATGTGTGTGTGTGTGTGTGTGTGTGTGTGTGTGTGTGTGTAATGAATAGCAGTCTCTCTAAATCTGCAAAAGTTTAATTATCTTCATCAGAGTCATTGTGAGTGCTATCATTATTACCATCATTTGAAATGTATAATAATAGTCATAGTACTACTTAGTAGACCTTCCCTAATTCAAATTGCCTTTCTGTATTAATTTATGTCTCGCGATAACCTTTGCTCATTAGACCAAGCAAATCCATGTGTGTTGGATAATGAATCAGGAAGCAAAGATCCAAACCTTAGGATTTGGGTTATTTCGTCATACAACCAGAACTTTAGGTATATGGACGTGTGTAAATAAACAATGTAGTCATGTGTGTACAGACTCATAAGCATGTCCGTAAAATAATACGTTTGAAACAATACATCATTTTATCTCCAGTGAAATCTATTGCTGGAATAGACTCTATTCCTGATTTTTCTGTTAATGGAGAAGATTTTAACTGATCGTCTGATTGTACCCTCTTCTTTCATGCGACCAGTAGTTTATCTTTGATACAAAAAACATCCTAATTGTTCTTTTATTTCAAAGTTCCAAATGTACATATTGCTTGACATAACGATGCTTAAAAAATGGCAAATAATGCTTCGTCACTCTCTTTCCATCGTTCTTAGTGAAAAGCGAAAAATAATTTATTATTATTATTATTATTATTATTATTATTATTATTATTATTATTATTATTATTATTATTATTATTATTATTTGTTCTGTAGTAAACTAGAGAATTTTCCTTTAACAGAAGATAAAAGTTAACTACAACTCGATTATTGCATTTTTCAATGCATTCAGACATCGTAGCGATATGGCTGAAAATTTGTTAAAGCTATGTTAAAAATCCAAATCAGACACGCATTCTTCCTCATTTTGGACTACTGCTCAACACTTCGGCTACACACCTGATAACAATGTTAAAAGAATCCACAAACTTAAAAAATGGGTAGCAAGAATTATCCTATATTTACCATTTCAAAAAGTCCAGTTTGATAGATGATATCTTCGTTCTCTTTTCTGTGTTGAATCAAGCGACCGCCATTCTAATCTCGACTTGAGTTCGATTCACTTAAGCGCAGGCAAGAACAGAACTGCTTCTCATATTTCAAGCAAACTCAATTCGGAGGTAATGCATCGGTTCATCAGGTAAATCTAGCTTTTGTAAACCAGATATCGGCACTCGGCCATTTGAGACAAACACTTACAAAAGCAAAAATTTGGGTCTATATTTGGCAATATTCTTTTTATTCACTTTTTCAAGGAAACAGTTTATATGTAATCCGCCGACCACGTAAATCAAACTTCAGATGGAGTCAAAATTTTAATGACACAGAACGATTCACTTTTCAAATCACCTTCGATTTCAAGTTCAAGTAATTACGGTCAGTAACACAACCATTTTTTTGGTAGTTCGGTGTCAACCAGACTAACATCGGAGGAATTGCATTAATTCATCATGTAGTTCTGACTTTCCTCAAGCAGACATCTTTAATCGGCTTTTTGTAACATACAGTAACAAATAGCAAACAGTTTCTTCTAGAGCTTGTTTAGAGATCGGAACGGCGAGCGAGATCAAGGCCGCCAAGACCTTTCTGGCTTCTGTGAACAATCTATGGACAACACAACTGAGACTATTTCCGTAAAATATCGCCTAAACCTGTCATTTTGCTTTGACAATAAGTACTGGTATACAACATTTACGTACGCCGTCGTCATATTCGATCA